GGAGTCAAGCTCAACTCCCAGTCCTACTGCCAGTTTCTGGAAGACACCTTCTTCAAGCAGTGGTACAGGAAGAAGTCTGCATCCTTCAAGAAAAACATGATTTTCATGCAGGACAATGCTCCATCACACGCGTCCAAGTACTCCACAGCGTGGCTGGCAAGAAAGGGTATAAAAGAAGAAAAACTAATGACATGGCCTCCTTGTTCACCTGATCTGAACCCCATTGAGAACCTGTGGTCCATCATCAAATGTGAGATTTACAAGGAGGGAAAACAGCACACCTCTCTGAACAGTGTCTGGGAGGCTGTGGTTGCTGCTGCACGCAATGTTGATGGTGAACAGATCAAAACACTGACAGGATCCATGGATGGCAGGCTTTTGAGTGTCCTTGCAAAGAAAGGTGGCTATATTGGTCGCTGATTTGTTTTTGTTTTGTTTTTGAATGTCAGAAATGTATATTTGTGAATGTGGAGATGTTATATTGGTTTCACTGGTAAAAATAAATAATTGAAATGGGTATATATTTGTTTTTTGTTAAGTTGCCTAATAATTCTGCACAGTAATAGTCACCTGCACACACAGATATCCCCCTAAAATAGCTAAAACTAAAAACAAACTAAAAACTACTTCCAAAAACATTCAGCTTTGATATTAATGAGTTTTTTGGGTTCATTGAGAACATGGTTGTTGTTCAATAATAAAATTATTCCTCAAAAATACAACTTGCCTAATAATTCTGCACTCCCTGTACATAGGAATAGTAGTGGTACAATAGTTATGTTAAGCTATATAGTTTATGTCTTGCATAGTTCCACAACCATATCCATAATCACATACTGTGTGTGCTACCGTTGTATATAATGTATTATCTTACTTATTTTTTCATTGATTGTACTTATTTGTATTTTGATATCTGTACCTGAGCTGAGGTAACGCAAAAAAATCCCCGTCATGGATTCAATAAAGTCTTATCTTAATTTTTATTTTTGCTCTTACCTGCCCTGCCCTTTTTCAGTGATTGGCTTTACAGTCACTCTTATCTTTTGAACAGGTTTATTTCATATCTTGCATACAGTGCAAACGGCTGCCAGAGGTTGTTTTTCCAAGACTGCTCACGATGCATATTCCCATTTCCAGTTTAACAGGTTAAGATGGAATTGGCTATATGAAGAAACGCAGGCAGGAGTGGCAATGCTGCCCCCCCCCCCCCCCCCCTTTTTTTTTTCTCCACTTCTTTTTCCTTGATTAGTTGGGCTTAAAGTCAAAGTGTTGGTTGAAGATTTTACAGAGATTCTTTGAGTTGTATTTTTATAGTTAACTGATAACAGAAACTGGAATTTGAGATCTTGTTGTGTGAGCCGGGACTTTATCTCAAAGGAGAACTTGGCAAAGCTTAATTTAAACCTAAATGCACATGTCTTGTGTATGTACAGAGGAACCTTATTTCCATCTTGCTCCTTGCTTACTTTTCTTGTCCAGTCTAGTCATTTCTTTCCTTTCTTCTGTCATTCTTCTTGTTTTGTTTCTTCTTGATTCCCCTTCTCTCATTGGATCTTCCTTTCTGCTTTTTTTCTTCTTCTCCACTCTTCTGTCCTTACAACCATTATTTGTTTCCTTATCCTTTCTTTCCTTGTCTCCTCTACCCTAATTTTCTCTTCTGCTTTCCTCTCCGGGGAGGATTAGGACAGAGTCCTTTTCATCCTGCTGTAATCCTACACTGGCAACCCAACTCCAACAAGAGTAAACATACACACGCATACTGTACACTCAAACGCACACACAGATATTTCGCATTGAGAAATCTTTATGTTCTGGGAGCTTTGTCCAAACAAGACCATCCACATACAATCCAGTGTGACCACATGGTTCGCTGCTTGGTCATAAAGAGGGGGAACATTAGAGGGGAAAAGTGTTCTTCTTTGGATTTTCCTCTTCTCCAAAAGCTGTCGGAAGAAAGAGGGACATAAAGAATGAATGGGAGGGGAAAAAAGAGACATAACAGGCGGATCTACCTCCCAGCCTGTCTCTGTCATCCCCCCCTCTAGGTGGGGCCTTGCTGGGATTCTGTTTGCTGAGTCCCACTCTCCCCTACCCTCCACCCCCACTGAGAGCTACAATGGCAGATTGGCAACTCTAATACCGCCTCTCGTTTTATCTGCTTGAATTGAAACCCAGTTGGAGAAGGGTTATGGGAATTATTTTGGAGCTATGTGTGTGTGGGCACATATTTTTGGAGGAAAAAATCTAATCATACAGATAGAAGCTCAAGAAGTATCAGTCATGGGATCCAACACTGAAGTAACATAGCTAGATACAGAGCTGTTATTAGCCCCTTTTTTAACAAGTCTGTTTGTTTATTTTCCAAAGGATAGGGTGTTTCTGTGTGGGTGTGTGTGTGTGTCGTTTCTAACAGGAAGTTCTTTTGAGTCAAGCAAGATGTGCAGGAAGTATTTGGTTTGACTCAGCTGAAAACTGCACTGGTACTCAGTGCAGAGTGCTGCTAAAACCAGTGCTCCTGCAAATGTATTTTGTAGCATTTTTCTTTAAATTATTTGAGTTTGTATGGCTGTTACTTTGGCTACGTAGCAATAAAAAGGATGGGGAGAATTCCTAAAAGAAACTAAAGTTGCTAATCTCTGCCTTTAACTAGTTTAGCTATCTGCTTTTTTCCACTGTGCAGAAAATAGAGGAACCTGGTCACGTACAAAATGTGGGAGCGTGATAGACAAGCCACACTCCAACTCATTACATAACATGTGTCCATGCTCCCACTGCAGAGAGCAGACAGAGTGAACTTGCAGTGTCAAAATAGGACAGGGTATAAAGGAGGGTATTTAAGGACAACAGAGAAACTGATGTGAACCTCAGCTCTCTAATGCCAGCTATAAAAATGGATTGAGAAATTGTTGTAAATTAAAATACAAAAATGAGGGAATGTCTTTGGAGACACTGAGATATGTCACTATTATTATTATTGTTATTGTTATTATTATTGTTATTATTATTATTATTCATGGACATTTTTGCAACATTTAATTGTTCAGCATTTTGCTTGCAAAACTAATTATGTGAATCAGTTACTGATAAGGCCACTGTTGTTTGATAAATTATAATGTCTATAAATACATTTATGTTCAAAAAGCTGGTGTGTCTTAACGGTGTGTCCCTTTGTGGGACATTTAATGAATAAAAATGGGGTCGATGGATGTGAGATTATAAAAAAGAATGATGGAAGCAAAGGCAGGCTCAGTCATAAATGGAAAGTATGCAAGACTGAACTGCAGTGTTGAAAGTTGAGACAGGAGGTTTGTTATCAGTACACATACAACAAAGTTGCCAAAGTCTCAGTGACATAGCACAGCATATCAGTACTTCTTTGCTAATGTTCTCACCTGTCTCATATCTTCTGTGTTGACAGCTGATGGAAAGATGGAAAGTCAAGATAAAGAGTAGCTCTGATGATTGGGGGGGGGGGGGGGGCTGTGAGCGCAGATGAGCTTTTGTACACATGACCTTATCCTTATCATTCTGACTTCAGTCTCAGTCACTGCAGGATTCTCCTCAGCTGTGGTGCAAGGTCATGCTTGTCATTTTCCTGAGCCCACTACTACCCCATTCATAAGCTATATGCAATATAAATCCAGTGTATATCCCTGACCTCGTAGATGCCTCAAGGAAGGACTTCAGTTTACCAGAACGAAGCAGTCTGTGAGAGAGCAGCAGAACTGCTTTGTAAAGTTATACAGTCTTTTTAAGTGTTTACCACATCCATGGCCCCCCATATCCATAAGTCTCTACTGTGTTTTATTTCTTTTAATGTCACACTTGTTTCTTTCCTTTGTCTCATTGTATATCTACGTTTGCCTTTACTTCACGGTGTGCTCTGCTCTTTGTGTTAAGCATTATACACATAGCTGGGAACAGGATTGACTGTTAAAGAGAAGACCATAGACAGTTTAAAAGGGGTATCTTGCCACCAGGACATCACCTACTGGTTTGTGAAGTCCCACTTAAATCTGTGATTTCAGCTTTTTGGCCATAGCCATCTTGGAAACCAGATGTAGTGACTTAGGGATGAATGAGATTGTGAAACTGTGCACTCGCTGGCTAATGATTTATGGTTGACAAATCATTAGCTAGCAAGCCTTTCCTGGATTATTCTCCTTTGTGACTCTTAGACGGACCACAGTTGAACAAATGGATTTAATCTTCTGTTCAGTTTGACCTGAGACTAGCAGGTGAGACTCATCAGGAAAGTGTTTAATGAAGTTGCAGATTAAGAAAGCCGAATGTCACTTTCCATACACTTCTAAGCAACCACAAGTCTTTTTTGGAACTACATGAGTTTAAGGCACTTTTACGCTGGCTTCACTTTTCAGACCTGGAAACTATGTCCATTTATGGTTGGTACATTACTTGTAAGTTTCCCAGGATATGTTAATCCATCAAAAATGATGGTGGAGAAAAACAGCAGAGTAAAGAAAACCAACACCCGGTTCATGTACACAAGCTTTTCATGACATTCTGCCCATACCCACAACCGTTCAGCCGCTGACTTTGTGGTTTTTCCACTATTGGTGATTGTTGGATTTAATTGTCTTAAGTGTTTTTTGCTGAATTGTCCATTTTCCTGCACAGCACTCACATTAAAGAACTGCCTTCACACTTTACCAGATGTGCTAGCCTTGCGGTGCCAACGACCCTGGCTGGAAGAAACCAAGTGTGAGAGCGTTGTTTTGAAGAATTCTGAGTGTTTATTCAAAACTTAGTTATCAAAGTGGCTTTTTGGTCCAAATTGTGAAGCCTTGCATCAGGTTTTTCCTGTCTCATTTTGCTTTGAAAATCTTATGAAGGCAAACTCAAAAGACCTTATTATCATAAGAAAATATGACGGGATGGTAAGAATTACCCGTGTTTATTATCAGTGATTTTCTTTGCTCATTGGAATCGTCAAGATAAAATGTGTAATCTTTCTGTTTTTTGTTTTTTTTCCTGAACAGATTCATCAGGCCAGGTGACCTCTTCGCCCTTGGGATCACCAACCTCCCACCGTGGAATGCACCCATCTCTACTCAGCCCAACGTCCATGGGGCCCTCAGGCCCTCTCCACTCTCCCATCAGTACGCTGAGCTCTCCAATGAATGGCCTGGCTTCACCCTTCTCTGTCATCAGCTCACCCATGGGCCCTCACTCCATGAACTCACCTGGCATGGGCTACGGTCCTAGCGTTAGCCCCCAGGTGAGGCCTGTTAAGAGACACTTTTAAAAGTTTACATTTTAAGGATGATTTTATAGAGATTAGTAAGCATACTGACAACAAGTTATCTGCTCACTTTCTGATAAACCAAAAGATATATTTCTTTGATACTCACAGCCATAGCTGTTGCTTGCACTTTCTAATACCTGAAATAGTTTAAACCTGGAACTCTCGTGGTTAGCCCAAAGGTTTCTCACCCCAACCGGTCGCAGCAGATGGCCGCCCCTCCCTGAGCCTGGTTCTGCCGGAGGTTTCTTCCTGTTAAAAGGGAGTTTTTCCTTGAATTTGGTCACAGAGAAGATGCTGGACTGAAGACCTCCTACTGATAGCTTTAATTGCTAGCAGAGTTCCATGAATGTCTGTAGTTTCTCATGTTTGTTTGCAAAAGCTTGCCAAATATTGGCCAAGCAGCAGTATTACTAAGAAAGTGCGAAAGAACGAGTTGTGAAGTTGTGCCAGCATGTTTCAAAACTTTTGGTTTGAAGGCAAATGGTCTTCGTTTCTGGTTTATGTCACACTTTTCAAAGTTTCAGTACAGCTTGGAGAGCTTGGACGGTGTTTGTAGACAGATCCATCACTTTCATTCAAATTATAGGCGAAAGCAATATGCAGGTCTTATCTTCCCAGCAACTTTTGATCAACCTTCAGCAACTTGCAAGTGGTCAGGGAGTGCTAAATTATCCCTCACAGTGAGCGGTTGCTAGGTGGTCACTGATCAGTCTGTAAGCCAGGTGCGACTGGGACCTTATTCACTACATCTTACACTGTCAGCAGGATTTTCACATCCAAAATGTCCAAAATGGTCAACAGGTGTGTGGTCTGCAAAATGTCAGTAGAACCACTGCAGGGACAGTGTGGTTTATTTTTGTATCAAAAGGAAAAAGTTTGGAGAACTTAGACTGCTGTCTATATGTTGTGTTTTAATAAAGAACTGACAGTTTTTTGCACTATAGATCTCTCATTATAGACCAAATTCTGATTTTCATTAGTTTTAATTACATTTTCATTTGAGGTTTGAGAGTCATGCACATCATGGGTTGCTTTTTTATTTTAGGCAAAGTACAATATTGCAAATTTACAACATTAATAGAATCAATTCCACCTGTTTCCTCATATAGATTTAAATATGATGTTACTCCAAAATGCATTAAGTTACTTTGTAATTTTATTATTGTGCGTTTTAACAAATGTTTTTTAAAGTTAGCTATTTTTGGAAGAAATGTGATGAAGGAAATTAAATATCCATTACCATATATCCAATATCCATAAAGTGGATTTCATATATTCTATAATTGTAATTCAAATTAAAAACAAAGAAATAAATGAGGAAAAAAGTGAGTTACTAGTAGCTGGTTGTTTTGTTGGGGCCAACAAGAGGCACTTACAAAAGGCAAAAATTTAAGTTAATGACCCTTCTACCTTTTACAACTCTTAATTCTTCTATATAGATATTGTTGACCAAAAGTTTTGCTACTGTCCATTTTTAACGAGGGGCAAAAGCAGATCTCTGTAAATGTGAGGTGTGCACTGTATTTATTACACAAGATCAAGAAAAAAAGCCTCGTAGCAAGAAGCTGTAGTGTGTTTAGGGCAAAATGAACACCCATTAATGCTACATTTTTCATACTGTAAGAAACCAGAAAGCCTTCATCCTAGGTTTCATGAGGTTTTCTCTGTGCTCCCTTTCAGATCACAGAGAAGTGCAGCTGCCCTAAGCCAACCAGAAAAACCATTTACGTATATCGTGTCTTGCAAATTGCAGTCACATGTTTCAAAAGTGCAAATTACAGTCAAAACTTGCACACTCACACATATATGCACACATATCATTTTCGTAAGCCAGGCCCCAGCAGACAGAGACCCTGCTCTGACCCTGTGGCACAGTTAATCAAGTCCTATTCAACTGGGATTCCACACTAGTTTAGCTCTGTCACTCTTACTTCTATATCTGAGGCATATTTTTTCCCTGCCATATCTTACTCTCGTCTCTTTCTATTCATCCATCCTTTTTCTTTGGCTGTCCACTTTCCCAGTCTTGTTCTATCCTTGTCTCTGTCTCAACTCTGTATATTTTATATATTTTATTATTATTATTATTATTTTATTTTATTTTTTTACTATTTAATTTGTAAAAATGTGTATACACACACACACACACACACACACACACACACACACACACGTAGGAAAATATTTAGTATACACATCCAGAAATGCATACACTATTATATATTGTACATATATTTATTAGTTTCAGGTTGGCCATTCTTGTATTTTGCTCGTTTGTGTTGTTGTGTTTGCACATCTCTGTTGCTTGTGGGGCTCGCACACAAGAATTTCACTCGCATGTGCTGTGCCAGTGTGCCTGCACATGTGATGTGACAATAAAAAGTGATTTGATTTGATTTGATTTGAACATCTCCATTTTCTCCCTTTGTCTCTGTCATTTTTGTTCCATCAATAAGCTTTGGTTTCTTTGCTATTAAATGCACACACGCAAACAATTGAGACATCAAAGCATACAGTGGCCCAGTTTCAGTTTGGTGCCATATCTAAAATTGAAATAGTTTCCCCCCAAAATGTGGTTGCTGCCCTTCTTTATGTTTGTTGATTTTTTATTTATTTTTTTTGGATGGGCTCTCCTCGCTATTGTTGAGCTTATCTGTGTCTTCTTAGTGAAAGTGTCCCACATGTAATGGAGTTTAGAGTGGATTAGGAGCACTTTGTGAAAGCAGCCAAAATCTTTCATTGCTAGAAAGCCCCTCGTCCTTCTCCCTACCCTCTCCTTCTTATTCCTGGGCACTTTATGATTCCAACACTTTCATCTGCACTGCCATTTCTGTCCTGGAGGGGTATTCTTTATTTGCAGGTGAAATTTTTAGTTAGCAAAACACTTTGGTGGGTTCAGCTGAACCTGCAATGTTTTTCACTGATTTACATTGTGATGATAGTGAGGCACACGTGTGGGGGTGGAGAGCTGATATTAGACTATGGTGGATTTTTAATTTGTCCAATAGTGGGACAGGAGACTTGAGAAAGCTGAATGACACTGAGGACCACACAACAACCAACTGAGCAGAGAAACAAAAACGGCTAGTTAGCAGTTAGCTCAATCATAAACCAATCAGATGCCTGAAAAATTAAAAGTAAATCATGAAATATACTGAAGCAACTGTCAGTGTACCAGGTTGTGGGGAAAAACTGCTCTGTCTCAATGAATCTTTTACACGTGCTTTAGTGTTTTGATATAACTTTTTAGGTGTACACATTAATCTTAAAAATATGTTTACATTATGGCATTCATGAAAAATATCCTGTGGTGTCAGCATACTGGGGTATTTTTGTACCGCCTCACAGCCAATCCCACCATTTTTAGTAGCTGTGTCAAGAACCAGTAACAACTGATTCAGTTAGTGCCAACTGTTTTAATACTGTACTTACAGTAATTATAGCTGGTTTAGTATTTACAGTGCTGTAGTGGTTCATTTGTTGAAACAGTTGATGTGAGGGCAAATGCGTCCAACAAACCGAAGGTTACCGTACTGGTGCGATTTAATTGTTTCTTTATTATTCAAAAAATAATGAAAATACATTTTTTGTAATGTTAAAATATCTTTAGATAACAAGAAAAAATATCATTTTGGCTGACTTTTTTGATTAGTCTGTCTAAGAGAAGCAGTATACACACAAGTATTATGCTTAACTTAAGGTGTATCTGCATACTATCATTATATTGCAAAGCTTTAAAAAAAATTCTCATTTCATTAATGCTAAAGAATAAAGAAAGGAAAAACAAAAATGTTATTGTTGACACCTGTGTTTTACATATTTCGAATGCCACCCAAACCCAAACTGTACAGGTGGTCTTGTAAACGGTTAACTATGAGTGATTCCATAACCGAGATTGTTGAGGCTTCTTGCTGCTGCTCAGCAAAGGTGGGGAACAGTGGTTTGATTTGAAAGTGCAGTGGCTTAGAGCATAAAGATGGTGGCACTGCCCTGTGGTCGTGAGGCGCGGCACATCTGATAAGACGTGATTTGAGTCAGACGGCATATGCCACTTAGACTTAACACTCGGCTGACTTGCTTTTGTCAGGAGCAGTTAACTGGAACGAGGTCACAGCTCAGCCTTTTTCACTACTTAACCGCCCAGACCAGTGTGAGACCCTGCCTAAGCTAACGGCTCACAATGCACAGGCGTGGACACACACCAAACTGCATATACTGTACTTTCTTTCTAATGATCATACATGCATATGTAGTATTATAAAATACAATAATCACAAGAATACCTTATTTGACCATCAGCTGCACTCAGCAGCATCTTCCAGTAGAAAGATTACATTTATAGATGGACATGCACGGTCAGGTGGTAATCGTGCTTACCTACTTTGCCCTAAAAGCTATATATTTTTCAATAAAAAACAGTGTATAAATGAAAAGCAGCAAGGTTTAACTATTCTCTACATCAAAGGTTTAATTGAAAACATGATGAAAGCTTGGGAGAAGATGAACAAAAGTCCTATTCATACAGGAGTCTCACATCCTCAGAAAAAAGCTAACCACATGTAAAGAGAGAGACAGTCCTTTATTATCAGCCAGTTCTTACATCTTGAACAACAGTACTTCCCCTTCAGCTCTGTCCCGAGCATCCAGACACAATGACATACTGCGGTTATGTTCTTTCTCTGTGAAGAGGACCATGCATTGTCAGCAAACATACTATACATAAAAGATATTGTGTGTTATTTGAAGCGCATACTTTGTCTTTTATTTCGTGGTTTTGCCAGGGTTGTCAACTCATATTTTCTGGAGTTCTATGAAGGGAGAGGTTGCAAGACATCTTTTGAGCTATATGCTCTGGGTGTGTTGGCAAACCGTAGTCGTGCTTCTTAGTATCAAACTCATCAGTGGTTATGTCTGTAGGCTTGAACTTACTGAGAAGACAGACCGTCCCCCGATCACAGACACCGCAACTACCC